CTCTGAAAATAGCCGAGGGGGGGCGCGTGTCGTGGCCATCTGAAAACAGCAGGGTGGGGGTGTCGGGGGGTGGGCACGCAGTGTCTTGGCCATGTGAAAACAGCGGGGGCGGGTAAGCAGACCTGAAGAGCAGACTGCAGGCCTATCCACCCTACGAACAACGAAGAGAACCCCCGGCCCATGAAGTCGCTGATCTTAACCCTATCCCCTTCCTCTAGGGAAGCCAGAGAGCGACCCTTGGCTTCCTCCGCCGGTCCGCGTGTGTCGCCTGTTGTTGTTTCGGTTGGCAGCAGCAGGCAACGATCGGCGTTTGGGATGGTCCTCACGAAAAATCGAGATACAAGCAGGCAACGACAAAGATTACGGGTGGATCTCACGAAACGAGGAGAGAAGAACAGGTCTTGCTGCTTGCTTCTTTTCGACAAACAATGCGGAGGAGGATGGGGCGCTGCGTCGCCGGGAAGATGGCATAGCTCTCGGCTCCCGAGCGTGGGAAAGTTTGTTGTTGTCGTTCTTGCTGTTGTTGTCCTCTTCGCATTGCAAGACGCTCATGACCAGTCCCTCCTGTCCCCTGCTCTCCAAACCCAAAGCATGGACCACCAATATCAACCTCGGAACACCAACAGCATCAAGTCAACTACACCATCACAACCAACCAACACCGACGACACCAACGTCAAACCTCAAATACCACCAACCGCCAACAGCACCAATACACCAATACCAATCAAATCACTACCCCGACAACCACGTCAACCCCCAAGACACCACCAGCCACCAACACCAATAACATCGGCCCCAAACTCCAACCAAGTACCAATAGCACCAACATCAACTACCATCAGACCACCGACAACATAAACACAACGACAACAAGAGCGAAGCAAGCACCTTTGAGTCGAAAGCTCGGCTCCTCCGTCACCAGCACCTCCACGTTCCCGTTCTTTTGCCTCACCAAGGTAGGCTCCGTAGAGACCGCAACAAGACACCCGGCAACCCCGTTGTCCCCGCCCTCGTCTAGCCGGATGCCCACGAACTGCCCCGGAACCTTGTAACTGTCACATCCACGAAACGGCACAACAAGCGAAACGGCACGGCATTTACTCTCGAACGGCAGCAAATTCTTTCCCCCGGAACCTTGAAACTGTCACATCCACGAAACGGAACGACGAACGAAACGGCATGGTGTTGACTCTCGAACAGAAACAAATAGTAGCATTTTCTTTCCTGCTACTACATATCTGCTCGTGGGCACATGGCCTCATAGCATCTCATGAACGTGGCACGCAAACAAACGGCGCGCCACCTATCTCGAACAAGAACAAAGTGTTTGTCTAACCTGCTTCTACCTGCTCGCAACTGTGTTCTAGAGAGGACGTGTCGTGAAGAAAACCAACACGCATGATTGGGTTGTTTGTCGGGGCTGTGTTTGAAAATCATGTAGGGAGTCGTGGCCGAAAAAACAAAGCTTGGGGGGAGGTTTTGTGGCAGGCATCACACTCCGTCTCGAGAAGAAGGTTACCCCGACGGTGATTCTATGGCATCGTGGTGGGTCTGGGGTGAGGGAGGAGTATGTGTCATGCCCGAATATTTTTTTGCCGTGCGGCACGGCAGTGGCACACGACAAGTAGACGTCTTCAAAATGAGGTACAATGTAGAGCCATGGAAATTTCAACAACACCAACACCAACACCAAAGGCAGCAATAGCACCACGACCACCACCAAATAGCAAATGGTACCACCACCACCAACATCAACTACAGCGGCAGCGGCAGCAGCAGCAGCAGCAGCAGCAGCAGCAGCCGCAGTAGCAGCAGCAGCAGAGGCTACAACAACTAACAGCACCCACACAAGGACGGCCGGGACATCCATTCCAAGACTTCACACTCAGCGAAGCACATCTGCGGGTTCTGCTTTTCTCTCTCACTTCTCAAGCCAAGTCGCCCTCGAAAATTCATACTCCAGCCCGACGCCCCCCACAAGCGACAGCGTCAGCAGGCGACATCCTGTCACACCGCCAGCGCCAAGGGAAAAACACAAGACAACATGGACGGAGTTCGGGTGGGAGAGGCGGCACTGACAAGAGGCGTGGAAGTCGGCATTATTTGGAGAAGATGTACACATAGACTCGCGGGAAAGACTTCCACTGTTTTTCGTTGTTCGTCACACGCTAGTGTGTGAATTTCCTCATGAACGACTCGTAAGGTTTTCTAGACGAGAGTGCATGATGCTTTCATACGCTCACGAAAAGGAATATCTAAACCACCTAAGCTACAAATCGACCTCATACTCTGATCATCCTTATCGACCTTACATTGCTGATCTGAGGAAGCACTAAAATAGAGTAACAGGATAATCTTACAAAAATGGAGGTGAAAAAACAAAACAAATGAAAACCCCGCTGTATTCTCCAGACTCACGGTCGTCAGCTGAAGCGGCGGTGTTGGTCACCACCTCGGCCTCCCTCCACTTTACCATATCCTGCTTCTCGTAACCGTCATCTAAAACCTGATGGGTGAGGTGGGGGTTTTGTGTGACCCGAGGCATGTTTGCGAAGGGTAGAAATAGTTTCTCTTTCACGCGGCAGTTGACTTCAGAAATAATGATGAGGGTTGTACTTCCATGAGTGCAAATAACTAGCGAGTTAATTTAGTTTATTTCGATGCGTTCAGGGTGACTGTGATGCGTAAGGTTTACGAACACCATGTGGTGGCACAGAAAACGGCACGTACAGCAAGTGTACCAGTTGGAGGCCCACTTTTATTATTGATGTGGTATCAATAAACTCGCCGAAGGGTGTGTGCAGTGTTCCTGATGTGACTGGTGCCTTGTGTTCACCTTGGGTGGGGTATACAATGTAGCGCCACCTTAGACAACCTTCCTTTTGGTCGGTTGAATGGGCACGGGATGTGAACCACTGGACGTCGACAAATACCAAAACTTTACTTGAAGACCACCCAACATTAGCAACAGCAACAACTCTATCAACAGCCACAACCACCATATCAACAACAACAACGACAACAAACAACAAACAACGAAGCGGCACCTTTTCCTTGTGTTCCAACCCCTCCCGATCCACCTCCGGCAGGCTCATGCTTCCCTGCTGTTGCTGCTGCTGCTTCCCCTCGACAGCACCCTCGTCGCCTTCTGGCCCCTCAACTCTATCGCTATCGCTACCGCTGTCCCTATCGCTAGTCTTAAGCGGACTTTCGCCCGCTCCTTTGGCTTCCGACGTCTTCTCCTCCGATACCTCCGGCGAGGATGCCCCTGGTACACCCGGCAAAAAAAATGTTTGCGGGACAAGGGGTGGGTGAAGGGAGACGCGGATATTGGTTTAGGCGAGACAAAAAATGACAAAAAAAAACTCCCACGTAGTCAAACAATATGAAGAGGAACACACACAATCTGACGCCCATGGACTTTGGATGATGAGAAAATACAACATAAACGTTGCCCGATGAAAACCCGAACAGACAGGACAGGGCATCACGAGGACCAGCCTAAAATGACCTTCGTCAATGCCGTCGTCGTCGTCGTCGTCGTACACGATCTCGCACTCTTCTTCGCTCGGGCAATCCTCCAACCCGATTCGCAGCGGCCCTGACACCCCGGCGGCGAAACAACGTCTCCGCGACGGCGACGGCTCGAGGGTGGAAAGGGAGGAACGACGGGAGGAGGCGCCGCAGCTCGAAAGGTACTGCTGGGGGCACTTACCGCTTCGATGTGCTGCTGGTGTGAGTTCGGTATAGGGGCAGGGGCAGACAGGGGGGACAAGGCGCGGACCGGAGGGGGGCTTCTGTTCTATTCTATTGAGCCTCTCAATTCAATTGATGGTTGGTGAAGTCTCTACATCAGTGACACGGGGACAACGTCTAACATGTTGTAAAAGAGTGGGTCAAACAGCGAGCGCTCAATGAAAACCTTCGACCATTTCAGAACAACGCCTGTAGCTCTTGCTCGTCTATCTCCAGTCCTTGTCGGCATGTTGTGGTTGTCACCTGCCAGTTTCAAGGGCGGCCCTCTCCTTCTCTGCACATGCAAATACACCCTAAACATGCCGTTAGAATACCCTATGTTGGCGATCCTTTCAAGGCCTCTGAAGCTTGATGTTTAGTCTGGACGGTTGTTGGATTCCCCATGTTGGAGGAAGGACCAGGGAGGACAGGAGAGTGCCGACGAGGTGGCGGGCTCCGTATATCATCCTCTGGTGGTGCGACTCCTCCCCCCATGCGTTACCTACTCCCAGACGACAAAAGGAATCTCGGCAACACACACGCTTCTTAAGAGAGCGCCTCTCTCTGCTGTACTGACTGGCAAATGACTGGGGTTGGCATGTGGGTATGCCACGGATAGACGTTGACGACGTCACGCCGGTCCTTGTGGGGACAGAATTTTGAGAGACATGGAATGTAGAAACCCCAACAAAAGTGAGTCTCGGGTTCATTCATGCCTTGGATGCTTCAAGTCTAAACGTCGCTCCACGTTGGGCATTGTGTGCTATGATACACATGACACAAGAGCAGTTACATCTGTGTGAATCCTTACAGCACAACACTGCTGCGCCTTTGTTTGCAATGCAGCACCGGTCCCTTGGTTTCGTGCCATTTGCACCTTGTATCACGGGCGCCTGTATACTACTGTGTACTCATGAGGACAGAGTTATACATATCAAAGAGTTGTGGACTGGTACCACGACCACAATACGGCGCTTGCTTCTCTTGCTGTGGCAGTTGTTCGTCACCTAGTGAAGCAGCAGGGAACACTTCGGCTGCTGGCTACACGTGTCTATCAAACATTAACTACTTGCAGCCTTCTTCAGCCGGTGTGCGCAATGGCCAATGTGCATGGAACACCTACGCTGACTCGTAGCTACCATCATTCGCTGCTTGCTCTACAGAGACCTCGGGATACAAACCCAAAGACTCTCCTAATAACGCATTGCGTGTGTCCGGCGTGTCGTTTACACGTGTACACAGCATATTCTATATGTAGCCTTACCGAGGGTTGCACTTGGAAGAGGACGAGAAATGGGCGCGCTCGCAAGAAGTCGACGTTGGGCGGACGTGACCAAGAAGCCCGTCGCTGGCGTTGACAGGGCCGACAATATGGCAAGGAACGTCTTTCCAGCGGCAGGTGTCATTGCTACTTCACGCCGGAAACGCACAAGTGTCAGCGAGTCGTGGGGAAGAGAGCGATGCCACGGGCCAAAGACGAGTAGATGCGGCGCAATTACAGGGGCGGGGGCGCGGGGGTACAGCCGTACCTATTTAAGGAGAAATAAATACATAAATACATAAATACACGTACAGAAAGACTACCCATTCGAGATATACCCACAGTCGAACGGGATGTGGTGGAGTCTTTTCAGTAAGTGGAGGAAAACCGGCTGGGTACTGGACTTATTCCGAGTCTTTATAAGTCTATACACGGATGATTTATCAGTGATGCCAGCTGGTGCTAAGGCCAATTGTTATGGGGAATTCCAATTTGGAAATTTGCGAGCTTGGAAAAAGCGGATTCCAGCGGGGAATTCCAATTGGGAATTCCGGCAGCATCCTAAGTTATGGGACAATTAGAAAATCTGCTACACGCGGTGGGTAGTTGCGTGGGGGGGTGGTGTCGAGTTTCGAGGCACGGAGCTGGCAAGTTTGAAAAGGGCGCGCTACCATCGTATCTTGTGGTCCATCATCGTGCCGAGGGCGTACCGAAAGCATGGCAGCACCACCTGCGGCGAATGCGCCCACTGATCTGAGCACCTGCGAGCCTCTCGACTGGGCGACAGATAATTCCAAGGATCTCGAGTGGGCGTGGGATCGGTTTCTCTCGCGCCCTTCCCACAGCGGTGAGCCGTGGACACGCCAGCAGCGGGTCTTGCTCCAGAATCCGGCCCTCTACTACTCCAACCAATCTGTGAGGGAGAAGGGCGAGATGCAGGAAGCCCAGCAGTGGAGGCATGCTGCTGAATGCATGAGAACGACGGCGGCGCCTGGGACAATTTTGTTCTTTCGCGACGTCTGTAACTTCAGGATCCCCAAGGGTCTCAACGCAGCCCAGCTGGGCAGAACGTCGGGCCGAGGTGAGCGAGGGTTTGGCACCACTCTCTCGTACTCTTCCGCCGTGTAGAGGTGTAGAGACGATATATAGGACGCACACGAGCGGGAGGCAGTCGCATACATTTGTAGCGCGGGCTCCTC